GTTATCCACATAAGTTTGCATTATTTCTAAAAACATGTTATTTTGTGAAGATTAAAGACTTTGGACTATAAGTACAGGGGTACTACAAGGGTTATAAAATAAAATAAAAAAACACGGGGAAACAACCTTAAAATAACACCACCACTTCCCAGAAATGCAACCTCTAAAAAACCATGGAAAACTCAGTATAGATTACAGTTATATTTTACTAGTATGTACATCTATCTCCACTTTGTAATCTTAAAAAAAAGTTGCATTTTGTGAGAAAAATGTTTAGCTGAACAGCAGAAAAAGCAGCCTGAATGTCAGATTTTTGCAGAAGACACGCAAAATTTGTGTCTGAAACTTTATGCTGGACTCCTTTACATTTCTTAACAAATACATTTGGCTGTTTTTTGGTTCAGATTGTAATGAAAGCAGTAGAAGTACACAAAAAGAGAAACAAAGAAGAAACTGCAAGCCTTCTACATGTCTCTAAAACGTTTTGATTAAACTGATCTTTAGCCATCTGATTTAATTTCTGTTGTTATAAATATTTTTTAACACACTGATTTATAACAAAGTAGAACTGGTTTGTAGCTACATCCAATATATGAGTCAAAATCCTTTTTTTTTTTTTTTAAATTAAAGCACAGATTCTGCTGGGGTTCACAACTGAGTCACACACCAACAAAGTTAAAGTAACTTCAGAAAAGATAGCAGTGTAATGACAGTTATCAACCAGATTCCAGCTATGTGGACTAAAGGCAAAGGTCACAAAGTGTCCCCAACTATGTTATTAAGCAGTAATAAAGGTGAGAGCCTCGATAGCCTGAGGCAGAATTGGTTCCACCCAGATAACTGGGTGTACTCCATACATATACAAAGACATGAACACTAAAAATGCACAAACACACAGGGACACACGCGGAAGCAGACACTCACATTCACATGGATATTTGACAAAAACAGACCACAATGCTGCGACATGTCAGGCTCCATATGTAGGGAAAAGTCCTCATCAAATTACTAAAACCAGAGCCTTTCCTGTAGCTAATGTTTTATTTTATGGTTTATCAATTGTTTTCACAGGTGTAGTTTTCCAAAACTGCAACAGAGGGCAGCATTTCTCTACAATCTCTTTCAAGGTCTTAACAAGCAGCACCCAGCTATAGTAACCAGTATGAAGCAGTTCTAGTTTTTGATATAAACATTTACTTAGTTCATTGTGGCCTTAATTGATCCAAAGGACCTTTAGACTAACACACAGTATATACATCTGAGAGCTGCCAGATAGGCAACAGAAAGTAAACCCCACTTCTATTTATTAACCAAAGGGCATAGATCAGATTCTGGTGTTTTCTTTAACCTCAAGCTTTCAAGCACGTACCTTTCTTCAAAGAGGGTCCCGGTGAGGCCTGAAGGCCATTGATAGCTACTGAGGCCCCCGCTCCCAGACTGGAAAGGTGCATCTTTGGGGGTGAGAGGATGTGGGGAGCAGTGCTGGGAGAGGGAGAAAAGCGGAAGAGGCTGCTGCTGTAGGATGGACGGCGACCCTCACGTCGGTTACTATCGATGGCAGCCTGAAGCTCGCCTGGGGAGCTGAGGCCTTTCCTCTCACACTCATACGGGTACAGGTATTTCATGTACCTTAAGGAAAACGTAAAGCACAGTAACACGTGAGATCACGACAGAAAGATTTGCACAGAAAATATCAGAAATAATATTGTAATATTTGACTACATCAAAACATTACAGCTGAAATATAATATTAAATGAGAGAATCTGTTAACATGTACAGCAGTGGCGTCAGCACCCTTTTTATAAATATGTAAGAAAAGAAAACATTTTTCTCCTTCTTCCAATATGAAACTGAATATGTCTCATTAATAGCCTGTCAATAGTCTAACATTTTGGTTCTTCAAAAACTGTCCAGTGCTATTTGACTTAAGGTGAACCTATTCTGGTAATTTACTCCTACCTACTGTTGGGCTCTTCTACAGTAGGCTCCCATCATTTACAGTTTAAAATAGTCCTTATTTTCTAAAGCAAGTAGCGTTAGTTCCATTTCCCTTAACTTTAAGACGACTTTTTTTTTGTCTGACTGGCTGCAAACAAATATTTGCACAGCAAATGGGCGGGGCTTCTCTGACCACAGTGAGAGATGAACACATTAACAATTGTCTCTCACACAGAGAGCTAAGACTAGACAAAAAAATTATTCTGACCTATTGACTAACAAAGATTACTTGCACATATGCTAACACACTCTGACTAATTTTTTTTTTTTTTTAAGATGAGCATCCAGCTCTCTATAAATGTGACAGAACATAAAAAAGCACACATGGGGACATTTAAAGCTGCAGTACGAAGACATGTGCACCGAGAGATGCACTGTTTATCCGAATGTGTATATAGCTCAGTGTATTTGTTCAGATAGTAGAGATAACTCTGTTTTATTTCACTGCGACGTTTTGTTTTTTTTGTCTGTACCTTAGTTTAGAACAAAAAACAGACTGCTTTGAATAAAGACCTAACCTTTTATCTCCAGCAGTGCTGTCACAATGATTCTGCCCCCCGTGTCAAATCCTTTTGCAACTTTATTTCTCTAATATTTGATCCTTACAACAGACATTAGGTTGCATATTTATAAATCAAGCCACTTCAGTAAACTGAAAGTAATCTCCTTTCTTAAATGTATGAATTTATATAGAATTTACTGCTTTAAAGCTTTGCTCAAAACATGTTTGGTGTACTTATTATATTTGCATGACATCACAGCAGCACTGCAAGTATGCAGAGTCACAGCTCTGCAATGTTTTCCATGCCATAAATGAGCACACTATACACATTATGCGTGCTTACTGCATAATGGTGGGATAGAAGTACCAAGGATCAATAAGAAGCACGAGCAGCAGCATCCATTAGACAGAGCCAGCCGACCAATGCTACACAACAGTCCAGCAACATTAAAAATACATCAAGGCTCATTAGGGATATGTACTGCTGGACAAGATAGAGGTGTTACCTCTGCTAAAGGGTTTCCATCCAGAGAGCGATATAGTTTTAGTCAGGGTTCGACATTATAAGCTGTCAATCAAACCCCACCTTAGTCACTGTGAACTCTGACCAAATTCACATCAATAAATCGATGGAAATCAATCATGTGTGATGTAATGCACTGAGGGGTTGGGGGTAAAGAGAAAAGTTTGGCCAGTGGAGAAAACTTGTGTGTGTGTATAAATACACAGGTACGGGTTCCAATGAATGACATTCATACTCATTCCAACACACAAATCCAAACACTCCTAACAACATGTCTACTTAGAAGCTGCAGCCAGAGCGGATCCTTGCATGTGCACGCAGGAGGCGTGTTTCCGCATGTATACTAGGAAGTAAAACTAGCTGTCGCAACAATTCTCTAGACAGCTGGAATTATTAAAATAAAAGACATAGTGAGAAGGACAACTGGAAAAGATGGCTGAAATGCTCCCGAAATGAACATATTTAGTGCCTGAAGAAGCTTCTGGCTTCCACACGGTGAGGAAAGCTGCTGAAATTCTTTAATCGGTTCCAGCACCTTTAATTAGTTAGCTTTGTGTCACAAATGCAAAGACCTACTGTGTCCGCAGAGTAAAAGCAGCACTGGTGATGGAGGTAGGCAGGTTGAGTCCCTTTGTGATTTCTCTCCAGATCTTCTTATTGATAACCTCGACGAGGCCTCCCTTTTCTGTCACCAGCTTGTACAGCATGTACAGATCTAGGACCTGCTTGGCCATGATTGGAATACGATTGACTGGGGTTCCTACGGAAGACAGGAAAAGAAAACAAATTTGGCTCAGTTAATTCTAAGCAATATCTTACAAAGGATGTCTTTGGTTCAAAGTGCATTTATGTCTCACATGGATAAAGTTTTTAATACTCAGACATTGAACCTTAATGCTGAGAATGGGCTCTTTCTGACCAAATACTGACACACAATGGAGTTCCCTCTAAAATGTAATACTTTTACCAATAGGCACCTTTACTTTGGAAAAAAATAAGGCGGGAGCATGGTGGAACAATCCTAATCAGCCGTTTCAAGTTTTTTGTTTTTAATGCAGCGAACAACCACTTTGACTGCCACGTCAATTCAAAGCAAGGCAGAGCAGCAACAATAACAGAAGCAGCAGAGAGAATCAACATACTGGCTGTGTTGCTATTTAAGCACAGTGCATGGCTAAATTTAATGACCATAAACCTTTCCTCTGCTATCTTAAAAAAATGGTAGTTGTTTCCAGTTTAATTAGTCACAGTGAGCCCAGCCAGCAGTTTTTCTTTTTCCAGGGCCACTCAGAAGCACTCGTGAACTCCCACGAGCACAATCCTTAGAGTGGTCTGTGGTTGGAACATGCAAAAAGGTGTAAATGTTAATACAATGGAAAAGGACCTGTGTTTAACACTCGAATTTCTGCTGAAATATCTTGACTTGTAGAGACACTAGAGGAGAAAGTCCTGAAAGAATATCTTAATAGCAAAGATGGCAGTTAACCCCCCTCCCCTGTCCACAAAGAGTCAAACAAATGTGAGATAGGGGAATCATATGAGTCAATCATGTTGCTACATTGATGCAATTACACAGTTGAGTTCCACGACAGATAGAAATGTGTGTTGGCAGGCATATCTACTTTTTATTATGGTAAAGTTTTAAAGTGTCCTCACCGTTTTTCTTTCTGGTAATCAGATCGCAAATAAACATGTGAGCGTTTGTTCAGAGCTCTGGTAGGTTGAGTGAGGCTGATTAGGCCAGCAGTCTGGATTGAGCCAGAAATAAAAGCTGTATTGTGATGAAACACTGAGCGTGTGTACTATAAATATAACCTGTGCGAAAACATGCTTAAGCTCATTTTGGGCCAACAACGCTAAACTTTAAGCATTTTTATCAGCCTTACATACATACATACAGTTTCTGAGTGACATTTGAAGTAAAAGTTATGACTCTTAATTAATTAATTAAAACAGGCACTTTGTCTTGCCAACACAAATCGGGCGAGAGGCAAGAATGACTTTGATTTGAAGTTTTTACAGTGAAAATTGGATTCTGCTTCAAAATATCACTCGATGGTGAAGCACCCAATATACTTTTGTGACCTCTACATATTGTTATGGGTTGTTAGGTTAGACATGGGTGGCGAGGGCTATTTCCTGTGAAATTTGCCTTGAAAACACATTAGCCCAGTTAAGCAATTTAGCTTGACCTGGAAAAGGGGATTCACAAACAACACAAAGCAAAGCTGCTCTAGACTTTTGATACAGATGCATTAATCTTGTCAACAGCTTATCTGCAGCGAAGCTTGCTGGGAGCTTGAGGGGTGGATACGGTGGGTGGATGAAGAGGGAGGGGTAGTGGGCGGTTCCTGTACGAAACAGAATCAAAAAGTGCAATGTGCAACAGTGTAAGCATGAGGCAGGAGGAGGGGACTGAAGGATCGTGACAACCTGCTAATCCACGGGCAGCGGTGGGGAGGGTGTGGGGGTTTTGGGGGGGGGCTCATGGATAGGCTGGTATAATGAAGCTTATTTAGAGGATTGCACTGAGTAAATCCACACCCCTCTGCGTTACTGCTGCCAGGCCCGGCACAGGGGAATCGTACAGATTTGTCTTCACAGTTAATGCCAGTCAATCCGCCAGCCCCTCCACAGGCTGCTCTTGACCTGGAATTGGACTCATTAATGACTCTGTGAAATAGCAGTGTGATCAGGCCATGAAGATTAGCCCCGATTCATTTTCCTAAGTTAGCAACATGTCTTTAAGCCATGTGCAAAGGTCCTAGGTGAACACATGGACCTTTGCAGTGGGGAGATCAAGACACCATGATGGCACTAGCAAAGCACTATGACCTTTTAGGTGTCTTAATATTAGTGATCAAGGAAATGTTTTACTACTACTGTATCCACTGAAAATCAATCGTCTCTAACCTGTTACACAGAAGTCACTATTAACAAATCCTTCTGTAAAAGGGCTAACTTTGGTGTTACTTTTTCATTATTCTGTGCACTAATGAAGCCTGAAGGCTTTTGGAACCTGCTGCTAAAGGTTAAGCATTTAAAGACAGTCCAGAAAGCTGGTAGGTATGATAACACATAAAAAGCAGAAAACACCTAAAAGAATACCACACACACACACACACACACACACACACACACACAAAACAGACCACCGTACCTGTAAAATGAAGTGAATTAAAAAGTTCACCTTTATCCATATAAATAAATAACACAGTCGATGGTGACATCTAATGTAGTATTTATAGCTGATGGATTTTTTTTTAGTTTGTTAAAGCTGCACAAAATTGTTCTGGGAAAAGGGGATCTTATCTTCACAGCCAATTAATAGAAAATCAAGAGTGAGCTTGTCAAGATGCTAGTTTCTTTTATAGATTATTTGAGTTCCTGTGGTAAGAGAGAGAAGATGAGTCGTAGAAAGGAACAAGAATTTGTTTAAGGTTTCTGTTTAAGACCAGGTGTGCATTTCCACTGGATTTAGCAAGACATTAAATTAACCATAATCCTAATGAACAAAACTCCTACCTCACTTTTGTGCAATAAGGAAGGAAAGAATTGGAGTAATAATAGTGTGGATTAGTTGCTGTGGATTAGAGGGGAGTAAGGTGGAAAGAGCAACACCAAATTTAAATTTATATTGCTGCAATGTTGTTTTTTTAAACAGATTTGGATAAATTGCTCATTCACCCCAATAAATGAATTAATAAAAATTTCTAGAATGATTTAAACCACTCAGTTTTGTTTTCATTTTGGAATGCAGCTTTTTCTTTGGCGCTAATATCTGGGTGAAGGTGCCAGCTTCCATCAAAGTTTGACTTCAAAGCTTGACTGATAGTGAAATTGTATATATATTAAAAAACACAACATCAACACAAAGCAAAAACCAGCAAAACAGCTGCCATTGGCCAATTGACATGTTCAAATGTACCAGTTGAAGAATGGAGCGCTTCTACTAAATTTTCTACTAACAAGCAATGCATCAAAAGGACCAGCAGCGCTACGCTGCGACCATCATTCTTTGATGCAGTGCTGGACATCAATCCTACATTAAACAATTAATACAACTAAGGGGGTCAGAGATCAGCCAGGGGTTATTGATGTGTGAATTAAACTGCAGGTCAGCAGGAAGCCATGTTTTCATTCTGGCCAGGCTGTGAACAATGACAGCACAACAAATGAGACAACAACGCTGGCCCCATAGTGACAGGCCAGCAGCTGGTTAGGATTTTTATTCACGCCAACACCTCTGTCATCATTTGCTGTACAATAAAGTCAAAACAAGACTTTATTAATTACATACATTTTTAGAACATAACCCATGAAGCCAAAAAGTTAACAATTTCAGACAGAAGAAAACAAACACAAATATCAATTTATACATCTTCAGTGGACCAGATGTGGTTTTAAAAAACAAAAAAAAGGATTAATTATTCCATGTGTGACATCAGTCACGTTTCACATTTCAACATTGCTCAGCCACGTGTGAAAGCAGTGGGAAAACACCTTTAATAATACTGTAATTGACCAAAAATCACATTAGCAAGGCTTGGGCAGTTAGCCAGAGACAGTTCCCTCATTTGCGAAAACCAGCATGTCACCAGCCTTTGGTGTTCAACATCTGCTCCCTTTCCAACCCTGGAGACATTTAGCTCTAACAGGCTTAATTAGACCAGGCCCAAACATCTCTTTTGATCACAGTGGCACTCTGCCTCGCATGCACTCTGCTCTGGTGGAATACCTGTTCCCACTTCAACCTCAATGCTTAATTTCCACTAGAGAAGACTAGAGACTTTATGATTACCAACACAAGACCATCTCTTCCTCAAGCAGACAGCTATTGGGTGTTTCATCTCTCTGTAAAGACCTGATTTGTCCATTCGTCTGCTCTGAGTCTATCTGTAATTGGCTGCAGGCCTCACCTCCCATCATCCTTTGCCCCGGACTGATTTTTCCCCAGGGACACGGCCATCAGAAGCCTAGTGATTAATGGCACCAGAGGTCAGAGGTCGCTCTGGTGGGAAGTGCTGTGGCTGAGGGCCCCCGAACCACTACCCAACTCTTTCCTCCAACTTCCACCAAGAACCCAAGAGCCACAGGGCTAGCCTTCAAACAACTCAACTTCAGACGATAACGGATGCAGATTATAAGGACAAAAATGCAAGAGGAATGTATTCGTGGAACAATATTTTGAAGAGTAAAAACAAACCATTATTCTTATATTTTATAATTAAGATGCTTTCCCGTAATGATTCAAGTGCTTTAAACTATGAAATATAAACTCCTCATCTAAAAAACAATGTGAATAAATCACACGGATGCTCACTCACAATAACACAGTATCATATGAAATAAAGAAAACAGTATCTAAAAATAAGGCTTGTGATCACTTCACAAGGAAATATGGCAGAAATAAACCAGATAAATTAAAAAGAAAAAAGAACCCATTTTGCCCTTTTGATGTATTATAATTACTGATTAGAGAGAATAAAATGTATGACTTTATATCTAAATGACCAAAAAAAAAAGAACAAGTTCATTTTATCTGACCTCTGACCTATTTTTAGCAGGAAACAGCTGTTCACATTAAAGGGTCTGTATAATAAATCAGTTGGGTGCCCCTGACGCCAGTAGTGGTAAATTAAATATTGCTGACTTCACTTGATGGGCATTTCTTTAAATAATTAAGTGACAGCCTGACAGCCTTACAGCGGACAACACACAGGAAATGAATTTTTTACTGAATGAACATTGACTGGTGTG